TCCCATTTTCCTCCCCCTCTTCCCACACACCACCCCCTCCCCCCACTTCTCCATGTTCAGAGAGTCGGGTCTCATCCCATGCTTATTCAATCCCAGTCCCGCTGGCCTTGGTGAGCTCCCAATAGATCAGTTCCACTGTCTCAGTGGGTGGGTGCACCCCTCGCGGTCCTGACTTCCTTGCTCATGTTCTCCCTCCTGCTCCTCATTTGGACCTTAGGAGCTCAGTCCAGTACTCCAATTTGGGTCTCTGTCTTTATCTCGATCCATTGCCAGATGAAGGTTCTAAGGTGATATGCAAGATATTCATCAGTATGGCTATAGGATAGGGTCATTTCAGGTTCCTGCTCCTCAGTTGCCCAAGGTACTAGCTGGGAACATCTCCCTGGACAACTGCGAGCCCTTCTAGAGTTAAGTCTCTTGCCAACCCTAAGATGGCTCCCTTAATTAGGATACATATTTCTCTGCTCCCGTATCCACCCTTTCTTTAACCCAACCATCCCCTTCCCCCAAGCTCCCCCCATCCTCCCCTTCTCACGTTTCTCACCCCATTTCCCCTTAGCCCCATGCCACCACACCCCCAAGTTCCCAGTTTTTGCCCGGCAATCTTGTCTACTTCCCATATCCAGGTGGATGAGTATATGTTTTTCTTTGTGTTCACCTTCTTATTTAGCTTCTCTAGGATCACAAATTATATGCTCAATGTCTTTTATTTGTGGCTAGAAACCAGTTATGAGTGAGTACATCCCATGTTCATCTTTTTGGGTCTGGGATACCTCACTCAGGATAGTGTTTTCTATTTCTATCCATTTGCATGCAAAATTCAAGATGTCATTGTTTTTTACCGCTGAGTAATACTCTAATATGTATATATTCCACACTTTCTTCATCCATCTTCCATTGAAGGGCATCTAGGTTGTTTCCAGGTTCTGGCTATTACAAACAATGCTTCTATGAACATAGTTGAGCATATACTTTTGTTGTATGATAGGACATCTCTTGGGTATATTCCCAAGAGTGGTATTGCTGGGTCCAGGGGAAGGTTGATCCTGAATTTCCTGAGAAACCGCCACATTGCTTTCCAAAGTGGTTGCACTAGTTTGCATTCCCACCAGCAATGGATGAGGGTATCCCTTACTCCACAACCTCCCCAGCAAAGGCTATCATTGGTGTTTTTGATTTTAGCCATTCTGACAGGTGTAAGATGGTATCTCAAAGTTGTTTTAATATGCATTTCCCTGATCGCTAAGGAGGTTGAGCATGACCTTAGGTGTCTTTTGGCCATTTGAACTTCTTCTGTTGAGAATTCTCTGTTCAGATCAGTGCCCCATTTTTTTTAACTGGGTTAATTAGCATTTTAAAGTCTAGTTTCTTGAGTTCTTTATATATTTTGGAGATCAGACCTTTGTCAGTTGCAGGGTTGGTGAAGATCTTCTCCCAGTCAGTGGGTTGCCTTTTTGTCTTAGTGACAGTGACCTTTGCTTTACAGAAGCTTCTCAGTTTCAGGAGGTTCCATTTATTCAATGTTGTCCTTAATGTCTGTGCTGCTGGGGATATATGTAGGAAGTGATCTCCTGTGCCCATATGTTGTAGGGTACTTCCCACTTTCTCTTCTATCAGGTTCAGTGTGTTCGGACTGATATTGAGGTCTTTAATCCATTTGGACTTGAGTTTTGTGCATGGCGATAGATATGGGTCTATTTTCATTCTTCTACAGGTTGACAAACCAGTTCTGCCAGCACTATTTGTTGAAGATGCTTTCTTTCTTCCATTGAATACTTTTATCTCCTTTATCAAAAATCAGGTGTTCATAGGTTTGTGGGTTAAAATCCAGGTCTTCTACTCTATTCCATTGATCGACTTCTCTGTTTTTATGCCAATACCAAGCTGTTTTCAATACTGAAGCTCTGTAATAGAGTTTGAAGTCAGGGATGGTAATGCCTCCAGAAGTTCCTTTATTGTATAAGATTGTTTTGGCTATCCTGGGTTTTTTGTTTTTCCATATAAAGTTGATTATTGTCCTCTCAAGATCTGTGAAGAATTTTGATGGGATTTTAATGGGGATTGCATTGAATTTATTGATTGCTTTTGGTAGAATTGCCATTTTTACTACGTTGATCCTCCCAATCCAAGAGCAAAGGAGATCCTTCCATTTTCTGGTATCCTCCTCAATTTCTTTCTTCAAAGACTTAAAGTTCTTGTCAAATAGATCCTTCATTTCCTTGGTTAGAGTTATCCCAAGATATTTTATGCTATTTGTGGCTATCATGAAAGGTGATGCTTCTCTGATTTCCCTCTCTGCTTCCTTATCCTTTGTGTATAGGAGGACAACTGATTTTTTAGAATTGATCTTGTATCCTGCCATGCTACTGAAAGACCCTCCAAGAGTGTCTTTCCTCTGGGGAGACCCTTCCCAAGGAACAGCGAGACCACTTGTACGGATGCAAACAGCAAGAGGTTTATTCAGATACACAGGTACCCGGGGCGACAAAGTCTCTCAGAGGACTTGTGCGCCTTTAGGTCAGGGTAATGGGTTTATATATGTTTTGGGGAGCAAAAAGCGCGGTACAGAAGTGAGAAGCGTAGTTACAGGGTTTTCATTGATCAGTTTGAATGTGGCCGAGTTCAGGTCGGAACAAGGTCTCTAGTTCCCGAGAATTCAGATATGGGCTGCCTTGGCTCTTATCTAGGGCAGACTTCACCGTTCCTCCCCACCTGGGACAGACGGCGCCTAGCCATATTCTCGGTATTCCCGTTCCTCCCCCAGCCCAGCCACAGGTGTCTCTAGCTCGTTTTGGCAGCTTTTAAACTGCCCTTTGTTCAAACCCAGAATATTCAGTACAAGCCTTGTAAAATGGCGTTACCAGTGCTAAGTCGTTTAACAAGCTGGGCGGGGGGGGGGGGGGGTCTTTTATCTGGTGCTAAGCTGCTTAGCAAGCTGGACGGGGGTCTTTCATTCCCCCATGTCTCTTATGACTTTGAATGGAATCTTCCATTCAATTGCTTTAAGTGGATTCGGGAATCTCTAGGTCCCAGTCATTTGATCCTGCAGCTAACTGGCAAAAATCGGGTGTGAGAGTAGGCCACCAAGTGTTAAGTGCTTGGTTGCCCTGAATTTCCCAAACAATCTCTCCACTTGGGGACAGGACTTGCCATTTTAAGGAATATGTCTGGTATGGGCTCCCCCCTAGGGTTGTCCCTACCAGTCCTAGCAGGGCCCAGAGAGTAATCAAGGGGCCCCACAGGTGAGTCTTAGTTTTAACAGGTTTTGGGTGCGCTGAATTCTCCATGGTGGGGTCGCAGTTGGCTCCTTCTCAGGGTGATGGGCTGCCTTGACGTGGGAGGCGTGGACCCAGGCGGTGATGCTGTCAACTTTCAGCGCCATGGGGGTGGTCAGCAGTACAGTGTATGGTCCCTTCCAGTGGGGTTCTAGGTTTTTGGTCTGATGTCTGCGGACCCAGACAGTGTCTCCTATCTGGAAGGGATGTGGTACCACCGGTTTGTCTAGTTGTTCCCGATAGGCTGCAGCTAATGGCCTCCAGACCTCTCTCTGGACAATCTGCAGTGCCTGTAAATGAGCTTCCAGAGAAGGGCTGTTAGCAAAATCAGCAATATTAGAGTCAAAAAAATTAATGAATGGTGGAGGTGTCCCATATAGTATCTCAAATGGGGTGAGTCCATGAGGGCCCGGCGTGTTCCGGGCCCGGTAGAGGGCTAGGAGAAGTTTGGAGCACCCAGTCTCTAGAGCCAGTTGCAAGCGTTAATTTGGTCAAAGTCTCCTTGATGGTTCTATTTATCCGTTCTACCTGCCCTGAACTTTGGGGTCAGTATGCACAATGTAATTTCCAATCATTCCCCAATAGCTTGGCCACCAACTGACTTACCTGGGAGACGAAAGCAGGTCCATTATCAGTGCCCAATACCTGGGGCATGCCATACCTGGGAAAGATTTCTTTCAAGAACTTTTTAGTTACAACCTTAGCAGTCTCGTGCTTGGTGGGAAAGGCTTCCACCAATCTTGAAAAGGTGTCCACGAATACCAATAGGTATTTGTATCCATATTGTCCAGGTCTTATTTTGGTGAAGTCAATCTCCCAATGAGTTCCGGGGCGATGCCCCCGTACCCGGACCCCTGGCCCAAGCTTATTCTTACCTGCATTTACTTGAGCACAGGCTTTATTTTCATCAGTTACCTTTTGTAGGGCCCCATCTCTGTTTAGGAGGTAGGGGCCAGTTTCCTGTGGTTCCAGTAAGGTTTCTCATTGGCATAACAGTCTTTTCCTTGAAGACCCAATGTTACTCTTTGGGGTCATAGGTGGCCCCCATTTTCTTTAGGAGGTTGGTGTCCTCTTGACTTTAGGGCAGTGGACATCAGAACAGCCTTGTATTTTCTGAATCGGTCAGAGTGAAGGCTCAGGAGGTGCTGATTGTTTTTAGGGCAGCCTCTTTGGCGGCAGCATCCGCCAATCGATTTTCTTTTGCCTCTGGGCTGTGGCCCTTTTGGTGGCCAGGACAGTCCATAATACTCAGTTTTTGGGGCAGAAATAGGGCTTTGAGTAGTGTCAAGATTTTAGTCTTATTTTTAATTTTCTTTTTCTCTGAGGTCAGGAGCCCTCGCCTTCAGTAAATTTCCCCATGTATATAGGCAGTGCCAAAGGCGTATTGACTCTCCATATAGACATTAAGTTTCTTACCTTCTGCCATCTGGAGCATCTGGAGTGTCTGGGTCAATGTGATGAGTTCTGCTCTTTGGGATGAGGCGCTTGCTGGTAGGGCCTCAGCCCAAATTACCTCAGTTTCCGTGGTTACTGTTGCCCCCGCTCTCTGTTCCCCATTTTCCAGGAAGCTGCTACCATCAGTGTGCCAGGTGTAGTCAGCATCCTGAAGAGGGTGATCTGTCAGGTCCGGTCTGGTCCCGTGCATTTCCGCAAGGATCTGGAGGCAATCATGCTGCTCTGCCTCCTCCAGCAAGGGGAGCAAGGTTGCGGGGTTGAGAGTGACCTATGTCCAAATTGCACCCGGTCCGCATCCAGGAGCATGGCTTGGTAATGAGTCATGCGGGCATTAGAAAGCCAGCAGTCTGGAGGCTGTTTGACCAAGGCCTCCATTGCATGGGGTGCCAGGATGGTCAATGGCTGGCCTAGAGTCAATTTACCTACGTCCTTGATAAGGACTGCAATAGCTACTACCATCCGTAGACAGGGTGGCCATCCAGAAGCTACTGGGTGGAGTTTCTTGGACAGATAGGCCACAGGACGCCTCCAGGGGCCCAGTCTCTGGGTCAGGACACCCTTGGCATATCCCTTCCTTTTATCTATAAACAGTTCAAAGGACTTGGTAACGTCTGGAAGGCCCAATGCAGGTGAGGTTAGTAAAGCCTTTTTGATATTGTCCTCAAAAGCCTTTTGCTATTTCTTTTCCCATCTGAACATTGCCCCCTGCTTGGTTAGGGGGTACAGGGGTGTAGCTATCTCTGCAAACCCTGGGATCCAGAGGCAGCAGAATCCTGCTGTCCCCAGAAACTCCCGCAGCTGGCGGGGGTTCGGGGGGTGGGGGCAGGGATGTTAGTGATAGTCTGTTTGTGCTCCTCGGTCAGCCATCTCTGTCCATCTCTCAATTGATAACCTAGGTAAATGACTTGTTTCTGACATATCTGAGACTTTTTGGCTGATGCCTGATATTCTAATTGTCCCAATGTCTGTAGGAGGGCTTTTGTGCCCTCCTGACATTCTTTTTCCTAGGCGGCCGCCAGAAGGAGGTCATCAATATATTGGAGCAATATCAGGGAGGGGTACTGAACCCGAAAGTCTGCCAAGTCCCAGTGTAAGGCCTCATCAAAGAGGGTCAGGCTATTCTTAAATCCCTAGGGGAGCCTGGTCCAGGTCAATTGACCCAAAAGTCCATTCAAAGGCAAAAAAAAGGGACTGGCTCTCAGGATGTAACTGCATGCAGAAGAAAGCATCCTTTAAGTCCAATACAGTGTACCAAATGTGGGATGGTGGCAGAGTACTCAAATAGATTGTAAGGGTTGGGGACCGTGAGGTATATGTCCTCCACCCTTTTGTTAACCTCTCTCAGATCCTGCATTGGCCAATAGTCCCCAGTCCCCGGCTTTTTTTTTTTTTTTTTGGCAGGAGGGGGGTGTTCCGTGGCAATCGGCAGGGAGTGAGAATGCCCTGCTCCAGCAGCCTCGTTCCTTGCAGTAGGCACATTGGTCAATATCCATTTTGGCCCCCTTCAGTTCTCCCAGCCTACCTCCCTTTTTATCTTGTCCTTGAACTACAGTGGCCAGCAGCCTGCTTAATTTTTTATTCTTTTCATGTCTCTTTCCTCCTGATTTTTTTTCATTCTCTGCCATAATCTCTCTTCCTTCAGTAAATCCTGTAAGGTATATCCCTGCAGACCCTCCAATCTTTGTAGCTTGCTTTTAATATCTGGGCTGGACTGCCAAATGAAAGACATCGAAATGCTAGCGGCCTGTCCAGGCTCCTCAGGGTCATAAGGTGTATACATTCTATATGCTTCCTTAAGCCTCTCTAAAAATGCTGAGGGTGTCTCCTCATTCCCTTGTATCACTTGCTTTATCTGAGCCAAATTAGTGGGGTGGTGTGCTGCCCCTTGGAGACCCACTATAAGTAACTGGCGGTAAAGACATAGGTATCTCCTACCTGCCTCCATGGTAAAGTCCCAATTAGGGCGGGTCAAGGGAAAAGCTGCATCAATCTCCTTTGGCAGCTGGGTCGGGCATCCATTGTGGCCCAGGACATTCTTCCGCGCCTCCAAAAAGACTCTTTGTTTTTCCTCCAAGGTCAACAGAGCCTGCAAGAGCTGCTGGCAGTCATCCCAGGTGGGCTGGTGTGTAATTAGGATAGATTCTATCAAGTTAGTTGCTTCCAGTTGTAAAGATCAGAAGCTGAGAATGGCCAGTGCTGTTGCTGGTCATTAGGACCCTCTCGGAGGGGAAGGGCGTGGGAGGTGGAATCAGGCGGTGGCCCGCGTCTGCCCCTCAGTTGATGGGCCATAGGCGAGGGGGCCAGGGATTCTTGTGGGGGCCCCTCGGCTGCCACTGCTTCAGGTCCCTCGGGGCTCGCTGATCCTGCATATGGAGGAGGTTCCTCCGATAGAAGGTCTACGAGGAGAGATTCAGGGTCCGGGGGAAGAACAGGCAGGGGTAAAGTGGGTTTTTACTTGAGGATAGTAGGATATAAGGAAGAGGAGGGGGGAGTAGGGAATGGAGCAGAGGGAAGGGGGGTAAGCGGCTCCCCTCCCGGGTGAGGGGATGCCTTAGGAGCTGTGGGAGTAAGAGGGGGTTGAGGTCCTATGTCGAACATCCGCTCCTTCACCTAGGAAATGATATCAAGGTTAAAAGTGCCGTCCCGCGGCTATGAATGTGGGCCATTCAGATGAACAGACAGTCACCCATTTCTTCTTTCGCACTTCGACCGATTGATTGTTTGTTCGGTCCCGGACATCAGGCCAGTGATCTAAAGTGAGACTTAAAGGTGTTGTTAACGATTGTCTCACGGTACCAGATTTAGACTCGAGTACAAACAGATATACCAAAAACAAAGGACATAAAAACAAAGAAACAAAAATACCAAAACCAAACTCAAAATCAGAAGCTGCGCAGCATTACGGATTCAGATGGAGGCCTCCTGGGAACTAGAGGAGTGGCCTGGTCACTCTTAGCCCCTACGGATACTGGAGTGTCCTCCAGTTACGAATTGAGCCCCAAAGGCTCCAGACACCCTTAGAACGTCTTCTAGGGCTGCGGGGGGGGGGGGGGGGGGAGTCTGAGCTCGTCAGCTCCTTCCCTGGCCCGCCAGATACTGATAGACCCCATCGAATCTTACTGAATGACAGAACAACAAAAGACTTAGACAGACACAGACACAGACAGGGCACTGGCCAGCTTACCTCCCGGTGGTGGGTCGGTGGTCCCTGGGTGGGGGTCTCCAAATCCGGGACGAGCCCCCAAATGAAAGACCCTCCAAGAGTGTCTTTCCTCTGGGGAGACCCTTCCCAAGGAACAGCGAGACCACTTGTACGGATGCAAACAGCAAGAGGTTTATTCAGATACACAGGTACCCGGGGCGACAAAGTCTCTCAGAGGACTTGTGCGCCTTTAGGTCAGGGTAATGGGTTTATATATGTTTTGGGGAGCAAAAAGCGCGGTACAGAAGTGAGAAACGTAGTTACAGGGTTTTTATTCGTCAGTTTGAATGTGGCCGAGTTCAGGTCGGGACAAGGTCTCTAGTTCCCGAGAATTCAGATATGGGCTGCCTTGGCTCTTATCTAGGGCAGACTTCACCGTTCCTCCCCACCTGGGACAGACGGCGCCTAGCCATATTCTCGGTATTCCCATTCCTCCCCCGGCCCAGCCACAGGTGTCTCTAGCTCGTTTTGGCAGCTTTTAAACTGCCCTTTGTTCAAACCCTGAATATTCAGTACAAGCCTTGTAAAATGGCGTTACCAGTGCTAAGTCGTTTAACAAGCTGGGCGGGGGGGGGGGGGGGGGGGGTCTTTTATCTGGTGCTAAGCTGCTTAGCAAGCTGGACGGGGGTCTTTCACTACTAAAGGTGTTTATCAGCTGTAGGAGTTCTTTGGTGGAGTTTTTGGGGTCGCTTATGTATACTATGATATCATTTGTAAATAATGAAAGTTTAACTTCTTCCTTTCCAATTCGAATCCCTTTGATCCCCTTATGTTGTCTTATTGCTATTGCTAGAACTTCACGCACTATATTGAAGAGGTATGGAGAGAGTGGACAGCCTTGTCACGTTCCTGATTTTAGTGGGATCGCTTTGAGTTTCTCTCCATTTAATTTGATGTTAGCTGTCAGCTTGCTATAAATAGCTTTTATTGTAGTTAGGTATGACCATTGTGTCCCTACTCTCTCCAAGATCTTTATCATAAAGGGATGATGAATTTTGTCAAATGCTTTTTTAGCATCTAAGGAGTCCATCCATACCTCCTATAGATCTTTCTGAAAGTAGATAAGTTGTTAAAACATATGCACTCTTGTCAACCCATATTTATTAAAGCGTTATTGAAATAGTCAAGATTAAAAATCAACCTTGATGTCTCTCAACAGAAGAGGAGATATAAAAAATATTTATATAAAATTTTGTGATTTCTAGTGTTCATTCTGGATTTTGTTGAATATTTAAAATCAAAATTTAATATTTAAAGTGTGGTTCTATGATCAGCTGGATAGTTTTGGAATATTGGAATTTAGAAGTTTTCTGTAGGTAGTTTGATAATTAGTTCTCAAGACAACGGAAGCACAAGATTTGGTTAAATATTCTGTACCTGCCACAGATGAAGCATAAGTCCAACTCTCATGCTATTTGGAATTCAATTGTTCTAAGCATGAAGTTGATTTTCTTAACATGAACTTTGTAATACTGTGTTCTGTGTATAACCATGAATTTTGAATTTGTGAGTGCTCTTGAAACAAAAATACATGTCTCACTGTGAGTCACCTTATAAATTTCCTGGCAACATTTCTAAAGACATTAGTATAAACAGATTGATAGAATGTCATCTGACCTTTTTTTTTTTTTCCCAAAAATGGCATCCACCCAGGGGCTTTAATTTCTACAAAGATGATTGATGTCATGAAACAACCTGAACTTGCCTCATATTTGTTCATAACATGGGCTTTAGACATCAGATGCAGAGCCTCTGAGAAGAGTGTTAAAGATCACAATGTGTGAGAAAATGCTTTCAAATAAGAAGAAATCAGGAATGTACAAGTATCTATCTTTGTCCAAAGATTTAAAAGGACTTGGGAATACATGGATGCCCATATGCTAAGCAGATATGAAAGGCATTTCACAATTACACTGCCCAGACATACAGATGGACAAATATTATTTTCCTCTTTTTTTCTCCCAATAATTCCACTTTTTTGGGGGTCAGTTTCATTTTATCTAAGAGATTTTGGAGAAGAAATAAAATGAAGACTAAGAGGGAGTCTTGTTAGCAGTTTGCCCCTTCTCACTTTCATTGTAATAGTGCATTGGCCTATGGAAAAAGAGTATTTAAAGAATATTTTGAATATATAGTAAGTTACTTTGTATGTTGTATGAGGTGTCATCATGAATATTTCATTAGGACTAGATGATGAGTATCAGTACAATGGCATGGATTCTTTGCCCTGTTGTCACAGCCTGCACATCAATAAGCAACCCCAATTCTTTTAGACTGGAAGCTGACAAGAAAGTACTCTCTACAGTGTTCCATCATATATAGCCATCTGTCTCACAGTTTCTATAGCACTGTTGCAGGACAGGACTTATTAAATGAAACCCCATTTTATTTCAATTAGTATCATCCTAAGTGGTCCCAAGCAAATTGCCATAGAGTAAAATCAACTGATGGACATTCATCAATGTGTAGATTCTAAAGCATGTGCTAGGGTGACTAATACTTGTGACACACCTAGCTGTGAAGAGTTTTCCCATAGACATACAGTTACTCTCTTGAATGATCTGCATGAGGTCCCATTATCCTGAAACTGCATCAAGACTGGAAGTAAGATACTGGTCTATTGTGAACATCATATGTGTTCATATTTCTCCATTCCTCATTTACATACATGTAAAATCACTACTCTTTAATCTCAAAGTTCACTTCTTCTAGTTTTGCTAAGAAAGGAATTACAAACTGTGAAATATATGCTTACATTCTTTGAAAAGTGTGATTGACACTTCCCTTGCCACTTCCTTGATTGACAGCCCTGGTGTGTGATTGTTAGCAACACATTAGAGAGGGAATAGGGCAGTTATATACTAGCACATCTTTGCCATTATTTTAAAACAAAGGTATTGTCTCTCTGTGTCTAAATTGTTTATTTTCTGACATGTATTTCCCTTAAACCTCTTATATTTTCTTTCAGTAATTTTGATAATTATAACTGCCTATTTTAGTAATGTGGGTACATTTTGACTTTGTGGATTATTAATAGTTGTTATCAAACACAGAATTTAGTCCACTGGGATACTCTAACTGTTCAAGAGATATATGTTTCTTAATGTTTTGGTTAAAAGAATTAGTGTTTGAGCTTCACAAAATCTAATCCCAAATTCCTGTTATGTGTTACTTAAATTTTCAATGACACTTTTTCTGTGTGGTAATAAAAATATTCAAAAATTATTTTTACTTTGAAAATAAAAATATAACTATAAGTAAATACATAAAGGTGTCAGAGTAGTACAATATCTAAGTAGGAAACAGATTTATTTTACTCTGAGTGAATAAATTAGAATTAAAAAGCATGATTGATGTTTATTGGTCTGATGATATGAAATGACTAAGAAAAGACAGAAGTTACTGCTCTTCCAAAATACATAAACACAAATTAGTATTATTGCCTCCCAACTTGTTGCCTAATTTATTACAAAAAAGCCTCATGAACATTTTCCTCACATTTATACTTTATTGTTTTCTATTTTACAAAGATGTTAGACTGGCATATACAAACTTATGTAGCATGCTATTGTTGTGTTAGTATAACTGGACAGGTGGTCAAAGCTATTTTCTGGTATAAAAATTGTATTGGTGAGATATTCCCAGTGTGAACATATGACATTTTCTGTAAATATAAAGTGGATGAAGAGTACATAGAAGGTAGTACATGGCCTTAATCTCTGCACTAAGAACCCAGGGCTTGTGTATCTATGTACATTTGGTGCCAGTCTGATCTATAGAAAATTATTGTTCAAAACCTTGAAATCAATTCTCTATTTATGACCTACATAAGCATTAATACTGTCCACATACATTGGTTGATACATATATACAGCTTTATAAAATACATCTCTGGTATTTGAATTCATTTAAATATAGATCTTAAAAAAGGTTTTACACCTCCATTAGATAAACCAGAAAGAAAAAAAAGAACAACATAAATATCAAAGTTATATGTTAACTATAATGCCCACTGATTATAAAGAATTGAAACCACAAGAACCAAACGTTGTCCGGACTATTGGGCATTCACCGGGCATTATTTGAGAGTCTTATCTAATTCAGTTAATTTCAAAAAAATATGATAAACTCATAGGCTCACATGTCACATGAATTTTTCACACACATTGCTCAGCAATTTCAACGTGAGTATACGAATAGGTTTATTGTTTGGTTAAAGCCTCTGCCATTATCTTTAAAGTAAGCACTCAAAAACTAGAAATTGAAAACACACTCTTTGAAAGGTGTTGATGGCTCATCTTATTTATGGAAGATGCTCTCTCATGAACCTTTAAAGCTTTTGCAAGCTTCCAGCTACTTATATTATTCTAATCTCAAAGCATAGATCATTTGTATCAGTATTGGCAGTGGTTAGGAATACTTACAGCTCAGAATAGTACATCCATTGACTACATAGAATCATCTGTAGATCTCTGTAAATATTAATTCCCATACCCTTTTATAGAACAATAACTACACATCCAGTCTGCATTGGCCTTAGCTTTTTCCATGGTTGAAATCAACAGGAACCCTGATCTTCTACCAAATTCATTATTCATATTTGCATGCCCAGAAGGTGTTTGTGCAACTGGGACAAAATTATATAGTCACTTGCAATTTTCTGAAGAATTTAGTGATACTCCAAATTACATCTGTTATGAACAGACTATGTGTATAGTGGTGCTTACAGGACCAAATTTGGCAACATCTGTGATGGCTGGGACCATGCTCAACCTCTTCACACCTCAACAGGTCAGGTTTTATTTTGTGAGTTTGCAAGAAATTCTGATTCTGCTGTAATAAGTCGTAGATGCTAAGAAGATTGTGAGGAGTATACCACCTTCAAATTTGTGTTAAACAGTGTAGTTTATGGTTATTATTCAGTCTTGATGGAGCTGCATTTTCTTTTTTTGAAACTGAGATGAGGGATGAACTAACAGATAACAAGTTTTTAAGGAACTCTTGACCTAAAGTGTGTTTACAAGTTCTTATGTACGTGTGCTCCCTCATGCTGCTCCCTGTGTTGTAGGTCCTTCAGATTACCTATGGACCTTTCCATCCCATCCTGAGCAATCATGAACAATTTCCCTCTCTGTATCAGATGGCTGCCAAGGACACATCTTTAGTCCTGGCCATGATCTCTTTGATGCTTTACTTCAACTGGAACTGAACTGGACTGGCTATCTCAGACAATTGAGAGGAGAGATGGAAAAAAAAATACAGTCTGCTTTGCTTTGTGAGTGTGATCCCAGTCGAGATGCATTTATTCTTGACACAAGCTGAAGTTTATTATAACCAAATCATGACATCATCCACAAATGCAGTTGTCATTTATGGAGACCCAGAGAGTTCTCTAGCTGTGGCCTTTAGAAGGTGGCGATCTCTAGGTTTACAGAGAATATGGGTCACCACCTCACAGTGGGATGGCACTACAACTAAGAATGACTTCCCATGTAATTCATTCAATGGGAAAATAACTTTTGCACACCACCATTCTGAGATTTCTAGTTAAAAAATTTTGTGCAGACATTGAACCCTCTCAAATACACTGATGAATTCCTGGCCAGGCTGGAGTGGATGAGCATGAACTGCAATGTCTCAGTTTCTATGTGTAAGACCCTGAAGTATTGCTTATCCAATGCCTCATTGCAATGGCTCAAGGCACAGACTTTTGACATGGCCTTTAGTGATGAGAGTTATGACATATATAATGCAGTGTATGCTGTGGCCCATGCCCTTCATGAAATGCTTCTTCAGCATGTACATAATCAACCCATGAATAATGGAGAAGGACATTATGCTCACTGCTTGAAGGTAGTGTTTCTTCTTTTGAATGAAATTTGATGTCATCAAGGTCAAAGTCTTTAAGTGTCTCTCTAATGTCCCAATTTAATGGATTGTGGAGTATTTAATAAAATAGTAAGATTTCTGGAAATTGTTCCCAGTAGTTATATAAGTCTTGAAGTTGTATAAATCTTAATGCAAAAGCAATGGTGTGGATGGCACAATTTGAAAAAGAATCATACTAATTTTGTTACAGAGTACCTGACTATCACCACACCTATTCTAATACTGTAGGCCAAGTCCTTCCTCCTTAATCCTCTTCCTAAAGAGAATATGAATCCTTGTATATTCATTGTCAAATGTGTGATAATCCATATATGAGATGATTTTCACTAGTGTTCTAAACTGAATCTGCTCACACTGTAGGAACTTGGGACCTCATTTCTCATCCTGAGTTAAATAATTACACAGCAAACAGTTTCATCCTTCAGTTAAGGGCATACATTTGTTTTTTTTTGTTTGTTTTTGTTTTTGTTTTTTCTTTTTTTGGTTTTTCGAGACAGGGTTTCTCTGTGGCTTTGGAGCCTATCCTGGAACTAGCTCTGTAGACCAGGCTGGTCTCGAACTCACAGAGATCCGCCTGCCTCTGCCTCCCGAGTGCTGGGATTAAAGGCGTGCGCCACCATTGCCCAGCAAGGGCATACATTTGTATACATAAGTATGAATATACGTTTCTTCTTGTGTATGGTTGTATGGTTGTGTTTTGGGTATCTCTGTTTGTATGTGTGTTACTATGTAAATATGTGTTTCTGTATATCTGCATATCTATATGTATGCGAAACTAAACATAAATTTGTCTTCTATCAATGTCTTTCTGAATAGGAGTTTGTTTCTGTGAATAACTTTCTGTGTATTTTTTTCAGTGCATGTGTTTATATGTGTTGAACTGCATGTTGTGTATTATTTGCACATATGTATATCTTTGTTTGTCTGTGTCTGTCTGTCTGCCTCTCTCAATCTGTCTTTGTGAGCATAAATCCCTTTATGTCAATACCTCTCTGTGTAAGTGTTTTTATCTGTGAATGTCTCCCTGTATGTAATTGTACATTCAAGTGTGCATGTACTTCTGGGCGTTGTATGTGTTTTGTAGGTTTGTTTTTGTGTGTCTGTTTTGGTGCATATTTCTCCTTGTGTGTAGCTTTGTTTTCAGGTGTGAGTGTTGGCATCTATGTGTATGTCTGTATAAAATGTATGTAGCTGCATTATGTATGTCTGTATGGATTTGACTCTCTCTTTCTCTCACTGTGTCTGTTTTTCATATCTGTGCTTGATATCTGCATATATGTCTGTGTTTCTGTTTACGTTTTTTTTTCTTAAAGAACTTAAATTCTAGGAAAATCATGAAAATTTTATTAGTCCACTTAATCTATTGTTATATCTCCTCTGGACACCTTCAATAATACTGCCTTTAAAATGAAATAAAATACATTTTGTGGATTCAACAAAGGACATACACATTATGGAATGGTGTGTCTCTTTCAGCTGCACTCCTTTCTGAGGAAAACATGCTTCACAAATCCTGTTGGAGACAGAGTGATTATGAACCAGAAAGAAAATCTGCAGGAAGAGTATGACATTTTCCAGATTCGGAATTTCCCTTATGGGCTCAGACTGAAGGTGAAGATAGGAGAGTTTAGCCCACATTTTCCACAAGGTCAACAGCTGCATTTATATGAAGACATGATAGAGCATGCAACAGGAAGTAAACAGGTGGGTCTGACTTAACTGCATTATTTTGCATTACACAGCAGTAACAGGGACAATGGGATCGATTTGTGATGTTCTGTAAATTACTGCAAATAAATAGTCACATTACAGAGTATTTTCTGGCTTCCTATTTTATGTTTTTACATTTCCTTTTTCAATGTGACAGTTCATTAATACTATGAGGATTTTAGATACGCATACAATGAATTTTTTCATTCCAGAATATCTTTCTGATTTTTAATATACAATGTATAATGAGTGTCACTACTGTTCTATATTGTGTCTAGTAAAGAGAGCCACTTTTTCTTGGTATAATTATGATGAGTAGACAGTGATTGTCATCCTTTTTGCGGAAATTTGACACAGGTGTTGAAAGACTGAAGGTAACTCTAAGGGAAAAGTATCACATACAAATCACTAATATTTATTAGATAAATTTTTATTAAGCATTTTTACCAACAGTTCCTAAATTGCCAACATATTGAACCATATATTAAATTAATATTTTCATAACTATGAATTATAACTTTATTCATTTTTTTGGTTTTAAGTAGATATGCATACTTTGTATATATGTCTGTGTAAGACTGATATGTATGATGTCAATGGATACATATCTGTTAAAGAAATTGCTACCTAGAGAAACTTTGCTTGGTCCTGTATATTCATTCATATTTTACTCAAACCAAAGAGTGTGTGTCTAGTTACCTTATCTGTGTGGGGGAGAAAGTATTGGTAGTAAAAGAAATGGCTTTTTGATGTTTATAAATGGTGAATTCCATTATGGGTCTAAAGTATGCTATAAGTGTGAATTCTGATGCGCATGGTTTTAAGATATCCAGTTCATACTACTCCAGTATTATGTGGCTTGAAATTTAAAGTAGTTAATTTCAGTAAAGTCGTCAAGTTAGATCTGAAGTCAGATAGCCCAGATAGTATAAAATCTACAAAATAATATTCTATCTCAGAGTGATGAGCAGAGTTATTATCAGGGAATAAAACATCTGGACTTAAATTATAGTCAATGACTGACACATACATTCAGGGAAGAACAATGATTTTACAAGTACGATCTTTCCAAGACAAACTGAGCATGGAAAATATCCACTGACAGAATAGAGACCTGGGGAACCTTTAGAGCCAACCCCAAAATGGCTCCGTAGTTATCTTCTTCCCTGCTATGATATCCATCCTTCCTCCATCTCCACCCTCCCACTCCCCCAAGCTCTCCCCACCCTCCCCTTCTCCCTTCTCTCTTCCCATCTCCCTTTCCCTCCATCCCACCCCGACGCTCATGTTCCCAACTTTGGCCTGGCATCTTGCCTGCTTCCAACTTCCAGGAGGATCGATATATGTTTTTCTTTGGGTTCACCTTATTACTTAGGTTCTCTAGGATTGCAAACTATAGGCTCAATGTCCTTTGTTTTATAGCTAAAAGCCACTAATGAGTGAGTACATATCATATTAATATTTTTGTGTCTGGGTTTGCTCACTCAGGATAGTTTTCTACTTCCATCCATGTGCATGCAAAATAGTACTCTAATATGTATATATTCCATACTTTCTTCATCCATTCTTCCATTGAAGGGCATCTAGGTTGTTTCCAGGTTCTGGCTATTACAAACAATGCCGCTATGAACATAGTTGAGCATATACTTTTGTTGTATGATAGGCCTCTCTTGGGTATATTCCCAAGAGTGGTATTGCTGGGTCCTGGGGTAGGTTGATCCCGAATTTCCTAAGAAACCGCGCAGGCCAGGGGTGCCAACTTCAGCAGCAGCCCCAGGCCGACCATGGCTGGATAGGACAGGCCACTGGGGTCCTGCGTGGGCGGGGCGCAGACAGGAAATGGGGGAGGGGGCGGTAGCTATGACATCACTGCAGCAGGGGAACCGGAAGTCGCTCACCTCATCTCCCCGCCCCCGCTGGAATTCCCACAATTCCTGCGTGCTCCCCCCCCCACCGGATCAGCGGGGAGGGGGGACGGGGCTGTGTGCGCGATGACATCATCACTCCCATCTCCCAGGAATGCAGGCACCTGACAGTGGATGGTGAGGAGTCAGGGTCATAGTGTCAGGGGTCACGGGGGTTGTGGCCCCTAACTCTTGCTAGATCCGCACTGCTCCCCCTCCCCTCGTGGCAGTGACTAAGGCTTGGGATCCCTGGGCTGCTCTGGGTTGAGCAACTTCTGGAGCTGACGCTGGGGACAGGAGGCATGATGGGAGTGAGTGGGTGGGGGGGTGTGGTCAGAGCCAAGGTGACGTCATTATCGGGGAGGGGGGGGCCAGGGTCGGAAGGAATGCTGAGAGTTAGCCAGGGGAGCTCGGGTCTGAGAAGGGGGTTGTGCAGATGTCACTGACTCGGGATGACGTCACCACCACCCCCACCGGAAGTGTGGAGTGACTGACAGCCATGCAGCCCCGCCTCTGCCGGAAGTTCCCTGGAATCCTGGGCCTGAGAATGGTGGGCACTGAACCAGGTCATGGTGATCATGGCGACTGTGGGGAGTCGGTCACCAGGCTGGAGGCGGGACTTCTGGGAGACTGGCAATCTCCCAGAGACTGGGAGGGGGCAAGGGCAGGACTTCCAGGAGTTAATCGGTTCATCCCACGGGTTGGGCTTCAGTGTGATTGACAGCGGAGGTGCTGATGACATTACGGACTTTTTTCCTTTCTAGGAATCCAGAGCAGAGTGAGCGGATGCTGGAAGTCCCGCCTCCCAGGGGTGACTGACAGGTGATTTCACATGCAACAGGGACATCATTGCCAGTTTCGGGTTTATTTCTTAATAAAAACACCAGGAAGAATGAATCGCTTCCAGGTCAACATCTCTGGGTTCAGTTCACTTCCAGGTTGGCAGGGGTGGGGCTTCATCTGTGTTCCGGGTCCCCAGGGTCGGAACTTCTTATGCGGCCAGGTCCTTCCTGAGGGTCTGGTGGGGTGGGGAGTGTCAGTAGGGGTCACAGACAGGCCCGGCCCCACCCTGCAATCCCTGACCTCTGACCTGGGGATTGACCAAAGCGTTGTCGCTGACTTTGTCCCGGATGTCAGGGATGTGGGGGAGGAGGCGGTGCCAGATGAACCTGGGGTCGGGGGTCAAGGCGGCCAATGTGAGGCCACTGGAGACATCTTGGGCCATGGCAGCCACGACAGTCATATTGGGTCAGGGCGGCCAATGTGAGGCCATGTCAACCATCTTAGGTCAGGGCAGCCATGACAGTCATGGTGAGTCAGGCTGGCAATGTTGAGGCCACAGGGGCCATCTTGGACCAGGGCGGCGCCCACTCACCTCCTCCAGGCGAGCGCCAGGCCCAGGACACAGGTCAGGGTCACGGCCATCGCGATGATGTAGACAGGCAGGCGGGGGACGGCGGGGCGGTCAGCGCCTGCAGGGGTGGGGCGTGGAGAGGTGGTGGCGGGGTTAAAGGCAGGAGGGATCGGAGTCATATAGAAAGGGGCGGTGCTTAATCGGGAAGGATGGGAATGGGGCAGGAAAAGGCGGGGCTCATGCCCACAAAGGGGCGGGACCCACCGAACTTCACTGGCGCACTCCACGCACTCCACCGCTTGCTGCGCACGTCGCCCACACGCACCCTGACCACGTGACCCTCGCGCGGCTCCGGGCTTGGGAACTCGAACCGGTTTTCGGAGCGGCTGGCGACGGTGACCTGGGGGGGGGGTCAGGTCAGGGGCGAGACTTCTGGGGTTGGTGGGGGCTGGAGGGTCACTGCGGGTCGGCTCACCGTGGTGTCCGTGTCCTAGAAGACAGGAGGTGGGGTTACAACCAAGGGAAGTGTGACCAGAACAACAGGAAGTCTTGCCCCCAGGAAACAGAAAGTGGGGTCAGAGCAAAAGTCCCCCCCCCCACCCCGCCATTTCCCAGCATCCCCTGGGGCGCACGCACTGTGCGGCGCAGGTCGAGCTCGTAGCGGAAGTCAGCGAAGCTCATGGCGGCCCAGGTGCGGGGCGGAACCCAGGAGATGGCACAGTGGGAGGCATTGCAGCTTCCAGTGATGTTGCGGGGCGGGGACAGACGCTCTGGGGGCGGGGGCCAGTGGTGAGGGAGGCCCCGCCCACAGACAGAAAGTCCCACCCTTCAGCTGTCAGTCAAATCTAATCATAATACCAAACAGGAAGTCCCGCCTCTCACCTGTCACTCAAACATAATTCTAATGCCTAACAGAAAGTCCCGCCCCTCACCTGTCAGTTAATTCAGGTCCCAAACAGAAAATCATGCCCTCCCTTCAGATGCCAGTCAATTACACCCAGCCCCGCCCACACATCGGGAAGCTCCGCCCCCAGCCATGTCACCCACCTATGGCCTTGGTATTCAGGATGACGTCATAGGCCCTCAAGGCACCGCCCGACTGGCTTGATCCGGCCACGGTCACATGAAGCCGGTCGGGCAGCCCTGTGAGGTCATTGATGCGGCAGCCAAAGGGGGCGGGGCCGCTGGGACATCCGGGCAGCTCGTGGCCCCTGGGGTGTGGGGCAAGGGTTACTGAGGGCGATGTCACCCCTCCCCAACCTATGACATCATTGTGTGTAAACCTACATTGTTACCCCTCCGATCTATGATGTCACCAAGCCCCCCCCCTACTCCCCCCGCCTGTGATGTCACCCCAGGCTCACGTGGTGTTGCGCAGGACCAGGAAGTAGCGAGCGTCCGGAGGTGCAGCAGGCCCTGCCTCCCAGGCACACGTCATGGCAGCCGCGTCATGGATCTCGCAGGAGACATTGACCGCCTCGGACCCTGGGGGACCTGGGGGGAGGTTTGACGTTATTGCACGCAGGAGGAAGCCCCGCCCCCAGGGACACTCAGGAGGGGCTGGAAACGGGGTGATTGGTGTGCCCCACCCACACCCGGAAGTCCCGCCCAGCACCGGGGAAGATGTAGTCCAGCCTCTCGTGGATGGTGACGTTGCCCGTGGTGGCGTTGACCCCCAGCGTGACCCCGAGGTGCAGGGTCAGGGCCCTGAACTGGCAGCGGCACCCAAGAGTATTCTGGGGGGGGAGATGACATTATAGGAGAACCCCTCTTGACATCAGCGATGATGTCATCGGGAGTTCCCAATCCAAGGTGTGGGTGATGTCATCAGAAACCCCCAACCCCGGGTAGGGATGACGTCATCGGGAATCCCCAAGGCTCTGGAGAGGGATGATGTCACTGGGGGCCCCTCCCCCTCCCGGAAGGGATGACGTCCCCATGAGCCCCATCCCCACCTGCATCCTGCGCATCCTCGGCCTCCCGTGCAGGGTATAGTTCACGTAGCATGACGTCACCATGATGTCATGGGAGCAGAGCCAAGTCAGCGTCCAGGTGCCAGGGTCGAAGGTCAGGTTCAGGGCAGAGGGCGTGGGAGGGGGCAGGACTTCTGGTGCTGGGCCATCCGTCACCGGGCGGGGCCACGTCGTCAGCTTGGAGTCAAAGGGAAGTCCCGCCTCCGCGGGTAGAGAAGCAAGGGTCAGGGCAGCCAAGAGCAGGAGCAACATGGCGGCTAAGGGCGGGGCCTCGCGGGGTGGGCTGGGCCGGGCGGTCACCTGTCAATCAGAAGACAGAAGCATGATGGTGTCAGCTGTCAATCACCCGGGCACTCAGGACATCCCGCTACCTTAAGGAGTACAGAACACAGTACCCAGGTACTCAGCGCAGTACCCAGCATCTTAGAGGACATAGCTTGGGACCCAGTACCTGGGAAAACTCAATGCAGGAGGACTGGAGAGATGGCTCAGAGGTTAAGAGCATTGCCTGCTTTTCCAAAGGTACTGAGTTCAATTCCCAGCAACCACATGGTGGCTCACAACCATCTGTAATGGGGCCTGGTGCCCTCTTCTGCAGACAGAATATTGTACCCATAATAAATAAATCACATGGGAGGACTCAGCACAGCACCCACGACCTGAGAAGATTCAGGACAGCACTCAGGAAGACTCAGCACAGCACACAGCACTCAGCACCCGGGAGGACAGAGCACCCAGTACCCAGGAAGACTTAGCACAGCACTCAGGACAACTCAGCCCACCACCCAGCATTCGGAAGGCCTCAGCCAAGCAACCAGCATTCGGGAGGACTCAGCCAAGCACCAGGGAGGACTCACTCAGCATAGAACCCAACACTCAGCACTCGGGAGAACTTAGCACAGCACCTTGAGAGACAGCACAGCATCTGGGGACTCAACCTAGCACCTGGGAGGACTCAGCCAAGGATCCAGGGGGACTCAGCCCAGCACCCAGCACCAGGGAGGACTCAGCCTAGCACCCAGCACCCAGGAGGACTCAGCCCAGCACCCCCCAGCTCCCCGCTCCTCACCCGGTTGCCAACGACTGCACTTCCTATTCTGGGAGAGGAACTGAGTGATTGACAGGCAGTGATGGACAGCTGGAAATGGGGAAGTGGGCAGGGCACAGGGTGATTGACAGCTGGGGGCGGGTACCTGGCTTGATTGACAGTGAAGCACCCGACATCGTGGGCGGTCTCTGGTGCAGACAGGAAGTGGCCATGGTGCAGTCCCGCCTCCTGTCAATCACTGGGGATATTTGACTGGGGTCACATGGTTGGAGGCTGTGGATGACGTCATGGGCACAGCACCTGTCAATCATGGGGGGGACTGCCATGAGGCCTGAGCACAGCAACCAGCACCCAGAACTCAGCACCCAGATCACCCAGCACCCGCATCACACAGCACATAGCACCCAGCATCCAGCACCCGGATCACCCAACACCCATATGACCCGGTTCATCCAGCACTCAGCACCCGGATCACCCAGTACCCAGCACCCGGAACACTAGCACCCCAATCCCATATCTGACCCCCATCGCTGACTCAGCTGAGATCCCCATCGCCCCCGCGCAGGCGCACTTCCTTCCTTGACTTCCCCAAAATGCCAGGGCCGGGTGGGGAGACCGCGCTTAGTCCCCGCGGTGCTCGGTCCCTGCGGTGCTTGGTTTTTAGTACCCGGGTGCTCGGTACCCGCGGTGTTCAGTGCTTAGTACCTGGGGTGATCGGTGCTCAGTCCGCTAGGTGCTCGTCCCCGCAGTGCTAGGTGCTCAGTCTACGGGGTGCCCAGTGCTTAGTACCTGGTGTACTCGGTCCCCGCGGTGCTGGGTTCCCTCGGTGCTCAGTCCGCTGGGTGCTTGGTTCCATCGGTGTTCGGTGCTCGGTCACCGCCATGCCCGGCCCCGCCGCGTCCATCGCCGTCATCCTCCTGCTGCAGCTCCAAATCCGGGAGAGCGCGGGTGAGTGAGGGGGGGGCGGAAGGGGTCCCGGGGTCACGTGGGGCCCAGGACAGGGGGTCGCGGTGACGTCCGAGGGGGCGCTGACGCGGGGTACCCACTTCCGGGATCGAATCAGGCGCAGGAGGCGGACAAAGCCGGGGACCGGAAGTCCTGCCCCCGGGTCCAGATTGACAGGCGGAGTTTACAGATGGGAAGTCCCGCCCCGGGCGCCCAGACTGACAGGCCGGTAGCGGAGCCTAGGGGTGCTCAGTCTCTCCCCGTCGCTGACGTCACCCGTCTCCGCCCCCCAGAGGACGTCACCGTCGTCTGCCGCGACCTGCGCGACGTGGAGGTCACGTGGGACCCCGCTGAGCATGCGGGGGCTAACCTGAGCCTGACATGGCGGTGAGTGACATAGGCCGGGGCCCCGCCCCTTCCCAGACAACGCCCATTCCCCAGGTTTCGGCCCACGCTCTGACCACGCCCATTTCAGAGCACGCCCACTAAGCCCCGACCCTGACTTCCGTCACCTTGCTCCCTGGCAGCTACATCCCAGAGCCCCTGCGGCCCTGCTCCCGGTACTTCCTGTCCGACGGCCTGACTTCCGGCTGCGTCCTCCCCGTGCGCAGCGGACGCCCCCTGGAGATTGACGTGCGTCTGGGGGCGGAACCTGTGTTCCACCGGAAGGGGCTGGCCTCGGCCTTCCGTGAGTGACAGGGAGGGGTCGTGGCCTTTGTCCGTGAGTGACAGGGGAGGGGGCGGGGCCTGGCTCTTGCGAAACAGAGAGGGCAGGGCTTGTGATCTTGGGTGGCACGGAGGAGGCGGAGCCTGTGTCCGTGAATGACAGGGGAGGGGCGAAACCTGGTTCATGAGTGACAGGGATGGGGCGGGGACTGGTTCTTGAGTAATGATTGACTGCTCTCTCGCACGTGTGCACACGCGCTCTCTCTCTTTCTCTCCCCCCCCACAGTGAAGCCCCGCCCTCCCGACAAACTCACTCTCCATTGGCTGGAGGATGCCATCCGTGTCACATGTCCTGCCCTCCCCCATGTCGGCCTCGATTATGTCATCCAGCACCGCGGGATGGGGGACACGGACTGGGTGGTGAGCAGCAACATCATTGGGTCCCAGCATCCACTGGGGCAGGGGTGACATCATCAGGTCCCAGCTTGCAGCGGGGAGGGCGTTGGGTGACATCATGGTCCTAGCATGCAGTGGGGGTGGAGGTGACATCATCAGGGTGACAGCACTGGATTGTTGCCCATGTATTTCCTGCTTCTGTATGTCACCGGGGTCACGCCCAAAGACTTCCTGTCCCTGTCTGTCAGGCCTCCGCCCCAGCGCCCTCCTGTGATGTCACCGTGGGCGGAGTCGACCGCAGCGCCTGCCTTGCCTTCAGGGTCCGGGCATTCCCGCGGGAATCTTTCTATGGCAGCGAAGTGCAGCCTAGCGATTGGAGCCCCGTGACACAATGGAGGGCTGGTGACGCCATGGGTGTGGGGAATGGTGGGTGACGTCACGGGGCAGGGCCTGGCTGGCAATGTCAAGGGTTTTGGGCTAGACATGGGTGATGTCTTATGGGGAGGGCCCTGGCAACTGACAACACACTTCCCATGAACCTGAGGCCCCGCCCCCAGGCTCCTGCCAGGCTCTGCCCTATTCCGGGTTCCCAAAGCTCCAGGTCGCCTGTGGCCTCGTGACCCTGTTGACATCACTGCTCCTGCTGCTGGCACTGTGGAGGTGGGGGCGGGGACTAGGTGTGGTGGGCGGGGCCAGGGACGGGACAGGGACACAAAATCTCAGGCTCCCTGCTCACTTCCGGCTCTGCCCCCAGGGTCAAGCGCGGCCTCCTCCCCTGGGTCCCCGACCCCAGGGGTGGCTTCCAAGGACTGTTTGAGCAACATGATGGGAACTTCCAGGTACCGCCCACCCACTTCTTGTCAGTCAGGGTCCTGCTTCCTGTCTCTCACCCTTCCACTTCCTCCCTGACTTTGGACCAACATTGGTTCCTGCCACCCTCTCACTTCTGGCCCCGCCCCTCACACCAGGCCCTGCCCTTAAACCCCAATCTTGCTCTTAGCCACGCCCCTCACCCCGCCCCTCCAGGCTCGGCCTCTAACCGACCCCACCCTCACCCTTAGCCAAGCTCAGGCTGAGTCCCGGCCCTGCCCCTCACTTCTGGCCCCGCCCCAGGCCTGGATTGCGCAGGACGTCTCTCCGCCCCCGAAGCCCGAAGCCATTGACCCCATTGACCCTGCTGAGGTGGCCCTGGTTCTGGAGCAGCATGGGAAGGGCGCGGCACCCGACCCAGCCTTGGGGTCTCCCGGGCTCCCCTGCCAGTGCCCGAGGGACAGGGACCTGGTGAGGGTGGGCGGGGCCACCTTCGTGATGGATGGAGGCTCTTACATGACCCTGTGACCCCGACGTGACCCTGCTGTGATCCCGGCAGCCATGATGAAAGAAGGCACTCGCAGTGCATGCTGGGAAGAGGGAAAATTTCTGGGTCTGTGCGTTTCTAGTAAAACATCACATGTGAGTCTCAAGAATTATGATGTCACATGTGAGTTTCTGGTATGTGTCACATTACTGTGGGATTCTTATGCACATTGTGACGCCTCGCAGACTGAACTACATCTCCTAGCATTCACTGCGGCTCCCGACTCATTACTTCTGGCTGTCAAGCAATTTTTTTTCCTGATTCCAGTATAAACCAGTAGAGCCCTGAGATAAATTGCGGGTGCTCCGTGGTGTACTACATCTTTCAGGAAGCACTGTGATTTCGTTATCTCAGTTCCGGCGGAGATTCACATACTTCTGATTCCCAGTATGAAGCAGGGCTGTGGGTCTCTCACGTGAAACTACATCTCCCAGCATGCACTACGGGCTACTCACTTCCGGCTGTCAACGCGTCCTGATTCACAGTATAAACCAGTGCAGTCCTGGAATGCAGTCTGGAGACCCAATTTGGGCCTACCAGAGTAAACTACATCAACCAGTATGCACTACGTCTCCGGGAATCTCACTTCCAGCTGTCAAGCACATTTTTCCGATTCCCAGTGTAAGTAAGTGCTGTGCAGGACGTCATCCCGTGTGGGCCTCTAAGGGAGAACTACATCTCCGAACATGCACTGCGGCGCCTGGATCTCACTTCCGGTCACCCGGACTTCTCGTTCACGGCGTCTGTGATCATAAGGGTCCCATTGTGAACTACATCTCCCAGGATGCCCGGCGACTCTTCCTTGACCTATTTCTGGTGTCATTAGCTGTCACTCCGACCGCCGGTACAACCGAAAGTGTTCACTACTGAGCCTGTTTCGCGGGCACGCCGTGTCCGTTGACCGGGTTCCCAGGTGAACTACATCTCCCAAAAGCCTCGGCGGTGTTCTACAAAACTTCCGGTACATACCGAAAACGCCCGTGGCTGCCTTATTAACGAATCCCCGCCATGGTCGATCGGTAGGCGGGGTTTCGCGGTAAACTACATCTCCCTGAATGCCCGGCGTTTCTCCCTAGTTTGTGAAGTTCCGCCGTGATCGTGAACCGGGGTCCCATGTGAGCCTCGTCTCCCAGAGGGCTCGGCGGTTTGCCCAACTACTTTCTAGTATAAACCGGAAACGCGTTTGGCCGGTTTCCTAGGACCCACCGTGCTTGGTAAGCGGTAATCTCCGGTGAACTACAACTCCCAGAATGCTCTGCGCTTTTCCACCTAACTTCCGCTAGAAACCGGAAACGGCCTTGTCTTCCCCATTTCCGATGCCCCAGTGTGGTCGAGGACTGTTCGCTCGGTGGAAACTACAAGTCCCAAATGCTTCGCTATGCTCATTTTCCGGTGTTTCCCGGAACATTACAGAATTGAACGGGGTCACGTTTTGATGGACCGGAAGTAAACGGGAGCTCTCTGTCCTACACCGGAAGTGACCAAGGAAGTGTCCCGTCCCCCATTCAAAACCTCTTTCGCGGTGCTCGTGGAAAGTCCCTCTCCTACCCGGAAGTCCCGCCCCACCCCTACCTCCAAGGCCTCCGTCTCTGCCATTGGTTGCGGAAATTTATTTATTGCGGTTATATATATATGTCCGGTTTTTCCTGGATATTTGTTCGTTTTTTCTCGGGTTCGGGTCCCGGATGGGCTCGGCGTTCGAAGCCTCAGGTACGGGGCGGGGACGGGGGGGGGGCGGGGTCTCAAATTTCAGATCTAAATTCAAATTTCCGTTGTTTTGTTTTAATTTCGATGATCTGTAAAAATTATATATATTTTATTTTTTATTTATTTTTTGATTTTTCGAGACAGGGTTTCTCCGTAGCTTTTGGTTCCTGTCCTGGCACTAGCTCTTTCTAGACCAGGCTGGCCTCGAACTCACAGAGATCCGCCTGCCTCTGCCTCCCGAGTGCTGGGATTATTTTTTTAATGAAGTTTTAATTACCCCCCTCCTCCGCGCGCGGCGCCGCGATCTTGCCCCGCTGCCGCGAGATGGGGAGAGCGAGGGTCCGCGCGCGGGGTCCGCGTTCGATCTGAGTTCAATTTCCATTTAATTCCGTTTAAATCCAAATTTAAATTTTATTTTATTTTTTTCGTTGTCATCTGGGCTTTTTGTGTGATTTTTTATTTAATTTTATTTTCATCCTGTTTTCATTATTTTTTTTCCTTCCTGTTTACATTTTTCCCCTTTTCCCCCCTAAAATCTTTTAATTTCGTTTTCTTTCTTTTTCTGTTTTTTTTTTAATTTCTTTTCTTTTTTTTTTTTAATTTAAATTTTTCTTTTTGGCTTCCCTGCCCCCAGCAGCCAAGTAAGCAGTCCCCGCAGGGCTGGGGGGAGGGGAAGGGTCAGGGGGCCGCTGTATTCATTCATTCACCTCCTTCTTTCGTTCATCCCCAGGCGGTTTCTTTTTATTTATTTATTTTTTGCGGCTGAATTTTTAATTTTCCTTCCTCTCTGGGATTTGGCCCAGTGAGCCTGGCAGGGTATGTGTGTGTCTCCATGGAGCTGTCAATCACCCTGGGTTTCCCCCTCGTCCCGCCCCCGGGCAGGGAGCATAGTTATTTTGAGTCTGTGTTATTTTTTTTAATTTCCATTTTATGATTTAATTTTAATAATTAATTTTCATGCTTAATTTTATTAGTTTTCCCGTCTTAAACTTTCGTTAATTATTCCCGATAAAATCCCTTACAGTTTTACTTCGCTGGGTTGTCTGCTGTAACGTGTTTCAAGTGTTCCATGTAGCATGATGTCCGACACGTGTGATCATGAATCATCACATGCTTAATGTGTGGTTTCTTAAATAGAATTTCATACAAAATATAAAGTTTTCATATCAACAATAATCTGTTAGGGAAGCCTGTTTTCTATCACATGTGTCACATATGTTCCGTGAAGAGCGGTATGTGGTCCAAGGTAGACATTGCAGTACACACGTGCGTGTGCACACCTACAGGATGTAAGGATTTGTGTTTAATGTTTTATTTGTATTTTTGTTTATTTTTTTAAGGATTGAAATCTGGTTCCGTGTTGAGGATCCGCGACCTTCTTCTCGTGTGCTTGAAATCCTTCCAGGGAAAATTCATTCTGCATCCCATGCCTGTGCTGTTACTACACACGTGTGAGACTCACATCTGTCGCAAATTCTTTACATTGAAATGTTCACGTGTGTCCACACGTCATCGACACGGATGAAATTCTGATTGCACGTGTTAAATTGTGTGTACACGTAAGCACAAAATTGCTGCTTAAACATTAGATTATTATTCATGTCACATTCCTACATACATGTCTATCAGATTACGACACAAAAACATCCATATGTCTAACTTACGTGTTATGCACACAGCTCTGGGCCTTACGTGTGTTTCTGGATATAAGTTCCTGGCTCATGTCTGATTGTGATATAAATGCAGCGTGTGCCCATGCTGAAAATAATCCGTGTCACATGCATATCACACGCATTGCTCCAGGCCTGCGTCTTTATACGGATTCATGTTGTCTGTGTGTATCACGTGCGTGACCCTGGGCCTGGGTGTGCAGTTATTTAGTTATGGTACGTACGTATGTAACATGTTTCATGTGTATGAAGTAGACGGTTCTGCATAGAACATGTGAAAAGCGTGTTTTTATTTTTGAACGTGCAGTGTGCACAGGAAACAAAGGACCAGGCTTACACATATAACACATATGCGGACGCACATATAACGTATGTGCACAGGTCTGCGCTCACGTCTCTGCCACTCCGTATAATCATGACATAATTGTGTTTTATATGTAAGAAGCATCCAGGCCCATAGTCACGCATGTCGTGTCTGAAGAGCATGTTTTTGCGTGTGAACATGGAGCGTGCCTATGGAGACGAAGACCAGGATGTATACACATAACATATATGCACATGTGTGTTTGAGACTCTAGCATTTTACAGACCCATTTTCTGCATAACCGTGGGCCTGAGTCACACGTGTGCGTATAACCTTATCTTTGCATGTGAGCAAGGGAGCGGTGTTTTCCATGCACGTCTATTATCACCCGTATCTACGTAAAGCACATTTACATACATGTGTGCACAGCGCTGGGCCCGTGTCTGTTTATTCATGGTATAAATGTAACGTGTGCCATATGTGCTTAACATAAAATGTCACACGCCTGACACCACACGCACGGCTGCGGCCTGAATCTTTATGTAGCATCCATGTGTAAACGCCTGTTCCACACGAGACTGCAGCCTGTGGCCTCTAGTTTTCTGTGTGTGCATTTTACACACATGTTCCATGCATAACCCAGAGCCCACAGGCGTATAGCTGTGTAACTGTGACATAAGCATGTGATAAGTTTCATATGTGCACAGAGATATGGGCCTGGAACTATGCGTGTAACATATTAAAAATGTTTTTAGGTATGAATGTAAGTGTGTTCATGGGAAAAGACACATGTATACATAAGCTTACACGTGTGACTCTAGACCCACGTCTGTAACTACACAGAACTGGTGTGCATATAACATCCACATCATATGTGCTCACTAACATACATGCTAAGAACTTCACGGATCCTCAACACCAATCCTTAAAAAATAAATAAAAAATAAAATACGAAACATGGATTACTCTCTGCCTTTATCTTTACACGTGTGTGTCACTTTACACGCATGTTGCATGTATAGCTCTGAGGCTGTACGAACATCACCACGTTTGTGACCGTGGCAGACATATGTGTTTCTGTATGGCTACATCATGCAGACCTAGAGTTGTACGTATAACACATGAAATGTGTTTTTTTGTTGTGCACGCATGCATAGGCAAAGGATCGGCCTGTACATGTAATGTGTGTACTTGTGAGAACAGCTCTGGGCCGGATCTTTACAGCTGTGCGTAAATATGTCATCTTTATATTCATATGTGATCAGGATATAAACGTGTGTTTTTTTTTTTTTTTTGTTTTTTTTTTTTTTTTTTTTTGGTTTTTCGAGACAGAGTTTCTCTGTGGTTTTGGAGCCTGTCCTGGAACTAGCTCTTGTAGACCAGGCTGGTCTCGAACTCACAGAGATCCGCCTGCCTCTGCCTCCCGAGTGCTGGGATTAAAGGCGTGCGCCACCACCGCCCGGCTAAACGTGTGTTTTATATGTATAGAGAGGTACACGCCTGGAGTCAGGCACAGAACATGGGAAAAAAAGAGGACTAGAGTGAAATGCACCATTTTATTTATGAACATAGAGTCTACATGTGAAAAGGATATTGACTTAGACCACACCTAACGTGTTAGCGTGTGTGTGTCTGCCTGGGCCATCTTTATAAATACACATACGCTGCGGTCACACGCATATACCTGCAGCCAGGCGCACACAGTTCACCATCACCTGTGTCTACCCTGCTCATATTTGTGTGTCCACATGTGTAGAGCATATGTATGTGTTTGCATGTCCACACTCACAGTTTTATTTTCCACACATGTACATGTACATCCGGGTGTGCACATATCTGTTCACCAGGAGCCCACGTGCACACATGTGTAGACACAGATACCATGCCGTGACATCTACTCTGTCCCATACATGTGTGTGTGCACATGCATTTGTGTTCTACATAGTCCTAAGCCTACCTTGCCTATGTCTGTGCACATATAACTTCATATGCATGCGCGCGCACACGTGTATTTGCAGAAACATGCATGCTCTGCCTTGACCAATAGTCCCCTTTGTTGTAATAGGAGCGGTGGGCTACGTTCCTGCCGCCCCAGCTCCCGCATGGCTAGCTTTACCCGAAATAATTTCACGGAAACGGTATTCTTTTGAACACTGCCTGGCCCATTAGTTCCGGCCTCTTATTGGCTAGCTCTTACATATTGATCTAACCCATTTCTAATATTCTGTGTAACGCCACGAGCTGGCTTACCAGGGAAGATCTTAACCTGCATCTGTCTGGAGTGGGAGAATCATGGCGACTGCCTGACTCGGCTTCTTTCTCCCAGCCTTCTGTTCTGTCTACTCCACCTACCTAATTTTCTGTCCTATCAGGCCAAGCAGTTTTCTTTATTAGTTAACCAATGAAAGCAACAGATAAGATACAAGACCCACCTCCAACACCCCTTGACTCCATATCTGCACACACATTCCCTCACGTGTGTTTACATGTCATTTATACACATACGCACGCTTCCTTGACCCACACTCATTCATATACATATATGTGGCATTCACACCCGTGTGTACACACTCTTGGTTCTATCATGTACCATCTGTGTTATGTTTGCTTGCTGTGACCCCTCACCTTGCACACGTGTACACACACAGCACACCGTGACGTTTCCTCTGTCCCAGACGTGTATGGATATAGGTGCATGGACATATGTGTGGCCCATCAAGCACACATGCTTGTGTGCACTGGTTGACTCATATTTCTTTTCCATGCATATATACAACACCCATATTTGTACACGCAAACAATATGCATGTAGCAAACACGCACCTACCCGTAGATAAATCACGTATACATGTTTGCAGCTGTGGCAGGGTTACACTGAAAACACATGTAGCACACATGCGCACGTGGATAGATTGCATGTGCACATGTGCAGTCTCCAGTCTGTCAGGCTGGGATTCAAACTCATGTCCTCCCTTCCCAGTGACACCACAATCATTCGTGTTTCCGTTACCATCGTTCACATGACACGTGCCATCACCGTGAGCACGCGTGTGTGACTGCACACACGATTGCATCTTCCTCGTTATGCTAACATGAACGTGTTCTCTCTCCCCAGGCCTCGCACCCAAGTCCCCTGCATGGGGCAGGATGGCACTTGACATGGTGACAGACCCGCGGGACTCAGACATGACGCCAAGGGCCTCGGTGCCGATGTCATTGTAGCATTACCCATGGCATGTGCTGACGTGTTGTTTGTGAAAGGTGACCGCCAGGTGTTCATTCACACGGGCTGTGCGTGTGCTGTCATCGGGCAACATCGCCATCTCGACATCATCACAATCATTGTGTGACATCACCGTCACCATGGCATGACATCACTGCATGTTATATCGGTCATTCTTCCACACAGGTGAAGTAGGTTCTTGTGTTCCACACGTGTCACTGTCTGTTTTTTCACATGTTTCACAGATTCACACATTTTCTCATGTGTTTTACACACTCAGCCTGGTTGTTTATTTCCACATACAGACCAGTGTGCAAGTCGTGCTTTAGCCTGGTTGTTATGCATGTGGACATTCATCATGCGTGTATGTGGCTGTTTCTGTTTTTTTCCCCCACAGTTTAGACACGCAGAACAATTTATGTGTTCGTATGTTTTATGTGTTCATCATGGGTTGATGGAGGAAGGTCATTGGTTAAGTAATAAACTGCTTGGCCCTCATAGGTTAAAACATAGGTTGGAGGAGTAAACAGAACAGAATGCTGGGAGGAAGAGGAAGTGAGCTCAGAGGCCATGCTCCCCTCTCCCGGGCAGACACAATGAAGCAAGCCGCCCGGTCAGACATGCTGAATCTTTCCTGGTAAGACTGGTGCTACACAGATTACTAAAAATGGGTTAGGCAAAATATGAGAATTAGCCCGTAAGAGGCTAGAGCTAGTGGGCCAAGCAATGTTTAAAAGAATACAGGTTGTGTGTTGTTATTTCGGGTAAAGCTAGCCGGTGGCGGGAGCTCGGTGGCGGAATGCAACCCACAGTTCCTACAACAATGGGTGATTTTGATTTTCCGGATCTCATCCATTCCATGTGTGTTCGCGTGGAGCCGCCTTCCGACGGTCTGCACCCATTCATTTACTTTCCGTGTGTTTTCTGCATGCGTCGTTAGCTCCTGGTTTGTAATAATTCCCTATCACAGGTTCATCTGTATGCTCAGCCATGTTCATTCAGTTCATGTATTAAAATCACTCAATTCTCTGTTTTTGTTTCCCACATGTTTTCATGACACGCAACTGATCGCTCGACCTTGCTCACATGTTCTCTCCATGTAAAGCACTTATTTCCATTCCCCACGTGTCCATCAGTTTTTTCCCCGCATTTCACTTGTGTACAGTGGTGAGGTTGTTTTCCATGTACTGAATGTGCTCTGTGCATGACTCATGTTTGTATGGCGTTTGTATGCGTGTGAGCATGGGAAGTCCCCACGTGGACTTAAGTGAGTTGGGATCCACTGTGCCTTAAGCTTACGGGCACGGACGCAGGATCTGATGTCACGCGTGTGCTGGTGAGGTGGGGCACCGTGTGACATCATTCCCCGTGTTCTGTGATGCCACTCCTGTTTCCATGGCTCCCATGACTTCCCATGTCCTGTGTCATTCCCGATCCTGTGTTCCCCGCAGGCTGCCAGGCCGTGACATGGGCAGAGCCTTAGAGTCACGCTCATGGTGATGTCACTGAACACGGATGTCAGGGTAAGAGTGTGAGTGTCCGATGCGGACACACTTGTGGGCTGGTGAGGATGAGTCTGTTTTAGTACATGCATGTACATTGCATTTGTGAGCACGTGTGTGTGTGAACATGGCAGTGCACAAGTATAGCGTGTGTGATTTCCATACAGGGGACAGGAGGCATCATTTTATGTGCATACTTATGTGTGCGAGTCCATGTGTTTGGTTGTGTGTCTATGCATGAGCCCATGCACATCTGTGTGCACATACCATCGTTTGGCAAGCCTGTGTGGAAGAATGGTTTTATATTCACGCGCGTGTGACAAAGTGAAAGGTTTTACATGTGTGATATGGAGGAACATGGCTACACGCACGCGATAGGAGGAAAAGGATGGGATCCTGAACAGTAGGCATGTGTCACGTGTGTTATGTGTCTGGTGTACATGTGTGTTTCTGTGTTTGACTCACATGTGTGTAGCGATGATGCGCTACATCATACATGTGTGCATTGATATTGTGGTATATTACATGCATGTGGACAGGATCCTGGTAGGCAGGTGAAACAGTCATAATTGTACACGCGTGTGCACGTGTATACATGCGTGAGTCCAGGAGTAACCGTGTGCACATGTGTGTGTGCACTGGAGATCACATGGACAGGCAAGGCCACTCGATGTGCGGCACAGGACACGTGTGGATGTTGATGGATACATAATACATGTAATGGACATAGATACGTGCATCAATGAAATGTAAAATTCACGTTATACACGTGCTGTGTTCAACATGCATGCAGACACCTGTAGGTTCACATGTAACATGTAGGACACACAAGTCTGCACAACTGCACATATTACGCTCCCCTTCATGTCAGGCTGACATATGCACGTGTATTGCATGAGTGTGTGTGTGTCTGTGTACACATAGTTGTGTCGCGTGCAGGTATGACCACGTACACGTATCTACACTTCCTGAGGCTGCATGCAGTTGTGTTGGACATGGAGGTCTGCACGTTACACATATCGCCTGTACATATGAATCAACATGTGATTATGTTATGATTTCACACAGGGTGGTCTTTCACATGTCTGTGCACATGTGTGTCTGTGTGTCACAGCGCATTAACATTTACATTTGCAAGTCACATGACAGGAACACACATGAGTCTCCATACAAAGCAGCCGCACACATGTGCATTTTAGGTTTTCTTTCACACTGAGATGCACACGTGTGTGTTTACAGCTAGGTGTCTGTCAGTCAGCGTTCACAGATGCATGTACACATGGGATCCTCTGCAGGTTTCTGTGTACATGTGTGGTGCATACATGATGTAGCATGTACAGGTTTACACATCACACATATGACACACGTACCTTTTCTAGGCTTGCATGATGCATGTGTGATGTGTGTAGCTGCGTTCGACTTAGTGCAAGTTTACATGTCACATGTACGACACAGGAAGATATCAATCGACACACGTTGTCATGCGTGTACTCTGTTTTCACTGCCCCTATTTTTTCCCATCAGGCCAACTGGCTACTGAGGATGCTGGGAGCGAGTGGTGGGCTTGGCCATGATTGACAGCTCTGCGGACCAACCCCGTGTGGCCCCACCATGATGAGGCCCTGCCCACCCAGCAGCCGCCATCACGCGTGTGCTCATCTGCCTCTGCCCTGGATCCCATCCCTGTCACGCATGTTCATGTGTGTCTCCCCGTCCCCGCCCCCATGGCCCTGTGACCACTGGCGTGTTGCACGTGGGTGGCGTATTGAATGTGGGCATTGGCGGGTTCTGCGTGGGCGCCGTGGTGAGCACGCGGTACAGGAAGCTGCATGGTCTGTAAGCGCCCTTGCTGGGCCCCTTGGAGCAGTTCCTGGGTGTCATCAACACATAGTTAAATAGACAACATATTGCTTTATTTCATTGCCCATAAAGATAATGAATGCATATTATGAAATGAAAGTATTGCTATGCAGCAGTGTCTCTCAGCTACATCATCAGCAAAGAATGCAGATATTGAAATGCTTATTCAACACACTTAATTAATATAGTCTGTCAATAAATGGCCAACATTGTCCTAATCATACTTTTCTATCTCCAGCAGATGTGGATAACTGTGTGAGGTGTCCAGAGAACGAGTATGCAGAGAGCAGAACCAATGTGTTCAAAAAGCTGTGGTCCTCCTGAACTACAAAGACACCTTAGGGATGGTTCTCACCTTAATGGCCTTGTTCTTCTCTGCATTCACAACTGTGGTTCTTGGGATATTTGTGAAGCATCACAACACTCCCATTGTGAAGGCCAATAACCAGAATCTCAGCTACATCTTGCTAATTTCACTCATCTTCTGTTTCCTGTGTCCCTTGCTTTTCATTGGGCATCCCAACTCAGCTACCTGTGTTCTGCAACAAATCACATTTGGAGTTGTATTTACTCTGGCTGTTTCAACTGTGTTGGCCAAGACAGTGACTGTGCTGTTTGCTTTCAAAGTCACAGCCCCTGGAACAAGGATGAGGTATTTTCTGGTTTCTGGTGTTCCCAACTACATCATTGCCATCTGTACGCTCATCCAAATTGTTTTCTGTACAATCTGGCTGCAATTTTCTCCTCCTTATATTGACAAAGATGTGCACTCTGAGCATGGCCAAATCATCATTGTGTGCAACAAGGGCTCAGTTACTGCATTCTACTGTGTCCTGGGATACCATGGCTCCCTTGCATTAGGGAGCTTCATTGTTGCTTTCTTGGCCAGGAATCTCCCTGACACATTCAATGAAGCTAAGCTGCTGACCTTCAGCATGCTGTTGTTTTGCAGTGTCTGGATCACCTTTCTCCCTGTCTACCACAGCACCAAGGGCAAGATAATGGTGGCTGTGGAGGTCTTGTCCATCTTGGCTTCCAGTGCAGGCCTACTGAGATGCATTTTTATCTCCAAGTGCTACATAATTTTGTTAAGACCAGAGAGAAATTCTCTTCAAAAGTTAAGGGAGAAAACATCTTCCTGAACACACATTTCATAAATTGTATCTGACAACTACAATATTGGTATAGAATCACCTAATACAATACAGTGCAAACTGTATGAATGGCTAATGATTCTCATCATTTATTACAATGATGAGGCACAGCAGTGTCATGTATACTACCTTTCTGTACACTGTGATCTATAATCATCCACACAGCCACTTGCTTTATAAGATTCAATTTTGACAATTAATGCACAAGGAATGTTTTCCTTTATTTCACAATTGCCCTGTAACATTTAAAATAAATGATCAGTAATTCTATTGATAAATGAGTGAATGTGGGACTTTGAATGCAAATGAAAACAGAGAAATCTTATAGTAGAGTGAAATATTGCTATCAAATGGTGAAACTAATGTGCCCATTTTGGGGGAAAGAAAAGAGAATACTGTTGCATCCTGGGTGTTAGAGGAGTAGAAGTTAGGAGAGAGAGAAATGTATGATAAATAGATATAAAGGATTTTGAGCAAGACAAAATGTGTCTCTGCAGTCATCAAACACCTTCCAACCAATAATAATCCCAGTACAGAATGGTTTCAGTGCAGAATTCTATGAGAACTTCAAAGAAGAGCTAATACCAATACTTCTCAAAGTGTTCCACAGAATAGAAACTAAAGAAACACTGCAAAACTCTTTTTTTTGAAACTACAGATAATCCACACGAATACTCAACCAAGAAAGAGAAGTACAGACAAATCTCACTAATGAACATAGATGTAAAAAAATACTCAATAAAATACTTGCAAACCAAATCCATGAACCCATCAAAAAAGAATCCCCATGATAAGTTGGATTCATCCAAGGTATGTTGGTATGGTTCAACATACAAAAAAAAAAAAAAAATCTATAGTGTAATCTACAATATAAACAAACTAAAAAATAAAAACAAAATAATTATTTTATTAGATGCTGAAAAAGCATTCAACAAAATTAAACATCCCTTAAGGATAAAGGTCTTGGAAAGATCATGTATAAAAGGAACACACATATCTCTTGCCAACCTTAAAGTGGCTCCCTTAACTAAGAATTGTGGTTCTGCCTACCCTTCTCCCCCTCCCCCCCACTCCTTTCCCCCTCCCTCTCCAGTCCAAAGAGCTGTCAGGGTTTTCTGCCCTGTGGTAAGTCCTAGGTTCTCCCCCCTCCGTCCATATCTAGGAAGGTGAACATCCAAACTGGCTATGCTCCCACAAGGAGAAGGGTGGGAGGAGGGGGAGGGAAATGGGAGGCTGGGAGGAGGTGGATACTTGTTTTTTTTTTTTTAACTCCTTTTCTCAATAAAAAAAAAGGAACACACATAAATATAAGAAAACAATACAGCGGAAGCCAAGAGTCAAAATCAATTCAAATGGAGAGAAATTCAAAGTAATTATACTAAAATCAGGAACAAGAAAAGGCTGTTCACTCTCACTATATCTATTAAACATAGTACTCGAAGTTCTAGCAGGAGCAATAAAACAACAAAAGGAGATTAAACGAATACAAATTTGTATCACCGATTTTGTTTTACACCCTCGGTACAGTTCGTGTGCCATTGCACTGTACACTAGTCCTGCAAGACCCTGGAGGTTGAAAGAACACACAGACCAGGGTCATTCAAAAGGAGACCAGCCAAAATGCCAGTTTATTCAGAATTGGGGGAGTCCTTACCTAATGGCTGCACAAGGATCTCCGCCCAGGCAGGTGGGAAATTACCATATTAACAATGGAGACAATGCCCTGCAGCTAATCACCAGGTGGGGCAGGGAGAGCACAGAAACACACAGGAAGCTTAGTTAGCTGACCATAAACTGTCCCCTCGAATGCACCCCAGGAATAAGGGCAGACCAGGGCCCTAAAGGTCCCCCTTTTATATAAATTATGACTAGGCCTGTCTTGGGTGGCATTGGACGTCAGGCAATACCCCTTACCCGTCATGGGAAAGCATCCAGGTCAAAACACATTTCCTGTCTTAGGTTGGGGCAGCCCCCCAAAAGCCTTTCCCGTCGGCTCACTAGTCAACCATCACCGAGTTCAGCCAGATTTGTGCTGAAAGATTCTCTGGGGCAATAGCTAAGAGGACTTTCCACGTGGCAACATTGACCTGAGCTTGCCTTTGGCTCTGGCGTGACACTCCAGCACATATAAGCATCCCTTAAGGAGACTGTGCTTGCTCAATCCTTAATAATTTTGCCCAAATTGGAGCCCTTTAAGTAAGGTCTCAGCACTGGTGAAAGGAATCCTGGTATAGCTAATTAGAATAATTTTAAGAGCCAATTTGTAAATTGTACACCTCAGGGTCCGTGAATAACAGCAATAAGCCTATTACTGTAACATCTAGCAGTGGTCTTTAACCACAACCAAGATCAAAATCAACTGCAATATTCATTTGTAAATTTAGCTCAATTAGAATGGCCAAGGCATTTGCAACCTGCCCTGAGAAGGTATCATTTATGCTAGCAGGAAGCAACTGACTGACTAATGAAAAATCCAGCAGCTCTAGCTGCTGTGGCAGCAACAGCTATGGCTGACAATATCATGGGATGGGTAGATTGGTAGAGGAACAATCCTTGGCACTCCGACCACCATAGCCAGCGCCTCAGGAATCCCACAACTCTTCAGTTGACAAGCCAGAATCTCCTTGATCTCTTGGCTTAGTCCTGTCTTCAGGCTTCTGGACAGGAAAATCCATAGCACGCACCAGCCACTCAGGTACCCATATTGGATTGTCAGCATCCTGCGGGAAAACACAAACAGTCCCTCTTCCCCACACCAGTACAGGATCTGGACCATATCAGGTGCTGTCTGATAGATTCATCTATTTGACATGAGGCATCCCAGAAGAATCTGGTCTCCAATGCCGTTCAGCAGTGGTATGAGATTGAGCATCAACAGTCAAAAAATTTAAAATGTATAAAATAAAAGATAAATGATCTCTGGGGTTGGAACCATATTCCCCCTTTTTAGTTTTATGCAAATAGGCTTTGAGCGTACGATGCGCTCACTCCACTATAGCTTGTCTTTGAGGATTATAGGGTATTTTCATTTTGTGAGAAATAGAAAACTCAGAGCAAAATTTAGCAAAGCCAGTGCTAGTATAGGCTGGTCCTGTAGGGATAGCCCAACCCCCTTAGGGGGCGTGTTTGCCTCAGGCTAATGTTTACATATAAATCTGGTGAGTGTGAGCCAGCCACCACTTTTGATTTCCTGTTCTCTGTGGGAACCTGTGGTTCTGTAAGTCTATTTCCCAATTAAAGCTGTATATATTATTGCAATCTGTCTGCTTTCATTTTCGCCAATACACTTGGCCCCCAATGTCCAGCTTTTTTGCCCCACCCCGAACGGCTTGGGGATGTAGGCTTGAATTTTAATTTGAGAGAGCTACACATCCCAATCTCGTAGCCTTCTGACTGGGTCCTAAAAACACAGCACACTCCCAGGTGCCCTTTGTTAGCACATCCAGTGCCGAGTCCGCCCCTACTCGCTGGAGCACTTTAACCCCTCCCTGCCTGCCTTGGCTGAATTAGCGGAAGCCCAGGTGCCTACGGTTTTGCAGCACCTGCAACCACTCTAACTTCTCAGGAGGAACAATCCACGTCTAATTCAAGGCTGAATCCGGCCTTGACTCTGCCAGGCTTCCTGGCCCTCCCCCCAATTGCTATTTATCAGCCTGGTGTCTGCTCTAATTCACACAGCACACAGTCTACTTAACTTTCAGTTTTGAGTTAGTTATTTCAGACCAGCTCTGATTTAGGCCACGTGGACTCAGGTGCATTTCTTTCGCCACCACCGGCAGGGAAACGTCATTACAGGTAAATAATTTTCTTTTATAAATAAAAATAAATACTGATTTGATTGAAAATGTCTGAAAACGTTACCATTCAAGACTTTAACAGACTTTTTGATTGTACCATGTGGGAGATTTTATAAGAGGTGTCTGTCACCTCACATCTATGGATCTTTCTGGGATTCATAGTTTTCCTTGGTACTACATGGTTTGATAATAGAAATATGATAAAGTCTTTATGAGACGAATCCAGGATTCATAAGGCAGAGGTTGAATGCTTAAAAACAATTGAGAATGACAACAATCTTCTCAAGAATCAGTTTGAAGTTCTCCAGGAAGAGAACAGATCTT